TTCCCTCTCACCACTTCCCATTCCTCTGTTCCCATCCATCCTCCCACTGATTGTAGACTTCAGTGCTGTCAGTCTTGGTGGTGACTATCCTATAAGCTAGGATTGATTTTTCTTGTTTACTTAGGTCTATGGTCTTTTGCCCTTCAGTTGCAGCCAGTTGTGAAGTACTGGAGTTCTATTAGTTAGCCTTACCCTTTGTTTTTTCCCTCTCCTACTCCATTGTCTGCTGTTCCTGTTATTTTTCCTCCTCCAAAGGATCTTCTTGCCAGTACCCATGGTACTGTTGGACCTAATGGCTAAAAACCATCGGATGGGTTTTTTCATCCTTTTCCTGAATTTATTACTGTCTTTTCGTTTTTCCCAAGGAATCTATAGCTAGGCATTAAGTCTTAGTCATTTTTTGTCTCAGTCAGTTTCTCGAACTTTCTCAATTTACCAACCTACAGTGGTATTTTACCCCAGATCTTGGGATGACCAAGATAGACTTCTCAGATGCTTCTTTTCTAATTTGGCTCCATCCCAACAAGCCTCCTACACCCATCCATTCCTCTTTCTTCAGGAGGCAGTGTGTCTGGGTTGGTTGGTCAACCTGCATAAGTCGCATATCACACCCATTTAGTTTCTCATTCATTTTTTGTCTTTTAGTTTGCATCTCTACTGGGCCCAGCCTTCTCTTCTTCTTTTGAGGAATGTAGAGTGGACCAGATGAAAAATTCCCAATAGTGCCTGGTTTTGGACTGGACAAATCTACCACATGCAGTTCACTCCTTTGGTTGGCTTTCTTCCATCCCACTGCTGCCTGGATGTCAGTTTATGGGTGGTCTGGTGTTTGATTGGTGCAGGACCAGCCAACATAAGTCCTCACACATGTGGTTGATAGGGAACCTCCTTCTTCCATGGACTGGATAAAACATTCCCAATGTTGCCTGATTTTGGACTGGAGTTGGCCCACCACATTTGCCTTCCACCTTCCTTTGGTCGCTTGGATGTCAGGTTCCTGGGTGATCTGGTGTTGGTTGAGTACTGGGTTTGCACACGTGCCCTACCTAGGTTGTCAGAACAGAACATGCTTTTCCCTTCTGCTTCCTGGTTATTGAGGTGAAGATGATTGGGACTTTCCTTCTTCCGTGGACTAGCATTCTAGCCACTCTACTCCATCAAGCACATCCATTTCCCCTACTGGACTTACTTTCCTTCTGCCCGACTTGGTGACATGTAATTTCATTGTAGGTGAAGAGTATACCCTTGTACAGAAAAGGAGCAGTCTCCCATGGGTGTGCACCTGTACTTTCATGGTATAGGATGTAATGCTTGATGGGAGGGTTCTCTTTGGGCACTCTCCAAAGTGGAGCTCATCTAGGTAACTTTTGCACTGATTCCTCCATTTCAGTGTTTGATTCTAGCTGTTATGTGAGAGGAGGTAAGGTATTGTTGTGTCAGCGAGATCATGTGACTATTGGCACGCCACCTGTTTTCTAGAAGTATCTTGTTCCTTCGTGAATGCCTTAGCATTTACTAGATATGTGTTTTTCTGGTATATAAATAAGACGCTCACAACGTGATGGAATAATGTGTGTGTGTAGATAGTGAGTAATTGAACTGCAGTCAGAAGTACTGTTGACGTTTGTTGATATAGCATTTGTTATAGAGCGATTGTTGAAAATAAGTGTATCGTAAAGTTGTATTCGGAAAGAATAAACCAGTTTTATTAAGTAAGGACTTGTGTCGCTAAAGTTTCATCGGAACGAAGTTACGGAAAGTTAATTAACAAACGGAGACGTAACAAATTGGTGTCAGAGAGTAGGACAAAAAAAAATGGAAACGAAAAGCGGCAAATCAAACTACAGCATAGCAGACTTGATGGCTGCAATACAAGAAGAGCAAAAGAAACAAGAAGAACGAGAAGAGAAATTACAACAGTTGTTAGAGGAAAAAAAAAGAA